AGCCCTCGCCCCTCCCACTTTCTGAGGAACGGTGCAGCAACGGACCCCTCCACTCCTCGTCCTCGAAGGAGGGCTCGGGCAAGCACCTCACCTCAGTCCCTCCGCGAAGCACGAAGGAACGGCGACGCACTCTGGGCAATGTAAAACCATTTTTTAATTCTAAATCACTTTCACAACAGTGAAAATTAGTGAACAGTAATGGTAATGCACTAAACAAGCCATTATGGGCTGTGTGCGGTCTGAGTACAGGGAGGGGAAGTGGTACAATACAAAAAACACACCAAGAAAAAGGTAGGAACAAAAGCGTTAACACTTTTAGACTATTTCATTCTTGGATTGCCAGAAAATAAGGACTCTCAGTGATGTTTCTGCAGCCACTTCCATCTAAAACCATTATGTCTCTCGCCAATAGATGGGGAAAAAAAACCAAGCCATTAAAATTCTGTATTTTAAAACGTAAGTGTTAGTTAAATCAGTTTCAATACCTCTCGAACCTATTACAGTCACTTTTCTGTCCTCTTTATCGGGAAAAGGCTTTAAAGGGATACCCTGCTCCTCCCTGGATAACCTCTGCACTTAGCATCGAGTTTCTCAACACAAAAAGGAGAAGGAAAACCATCCCTTCTACTATGACATGAACTTTCCCTTTTCATCAGCAGGTGGTGCTCCCTGCTCATGAAAGGAAGTCAAAGCTGCGACATTGTCCTACAGCCAGTTGCTTACAAGAATGCAACAATTAGCCTTTCTCCTAGAAAGAGTCCTAGTTACCAAGTTCACACTTGAGAAGAACCATATCCAGAAGTTAAGCTTCTCAAAAGTGCCACACAACAAAAGCTGAAGCACCAGTTCAACTATTTATAGTTGAGCAATATATTCTGCCAGATTATCATCGAGTCAGGTATAAATTTGACTAGATGTGGCAAAACACTGCAGAAGCTTTGCAACGTTTTACTTGCCAGATGGAATTTTGGAGGTAAGCCAGTTGAACTTCGGTCATCCTCTGTCTTGATACAAAAAGTGAAGAGTTTATAATTACATAAATAAGTTTCTACAACAATTGATTAATGTGTCCTGCCCAGGAACCTCATCCATACACTAGAAAAACCCTGGTATTGAAACAAAGTTTCTATGAGTTGATTTGTTTTGTCAGTTGTCTATTGCCAGGGAAGTCACAATATTCATCTTGCAGGAAATCATTATGACTTATCAGCAATCTGAATCAAAATAATCTAAAAACAGTAAGAGAAAAAAATGGAATGGCCTAGTCAGAGAAATATGAAAACTGTTCATCTTGCTAGGGAATCTCTCCTATCTGCTGTTCTGAAGGAATCTACACAAATACATCAGGAGTACTCTTTAAAGCTGTGTACCCAACAGGCTTCCAAAACGGCTACAGAGTGCTCACCTTTTGAAATATTTTCCCCTCAGCACATAAATGGTTGTGGTCTCCTCTAGCACTTCAAATTAATATCTTTGGTAGATACTGCAGAGACTCTTGCACTATAGCCATTCTGCTGTGGCACAGAGTAGCTGTATGCACCTGTAGAAAGAAGCTCTTCCAAATGTTCCCTGCTGTGGCATGTGCTAGCAAAGGCAGGATCTCATTTTCCTCCTGTATAACTTTACATTATGACAAGTTTAACCTCAAAACTCATGTAAAGATGCCTTTTTGTTCCTCTCCCCAAACAAGCTGATCTCAGATCTGTAATAGGATTTTATTTAGAGTACATGACGTTACGTAGAAAGTCTCAAAGCCTTGGGAAGAATAAATGTAGCTACAGTGACACGGTTGTGAGGGGATTATCCATGAGTGCAGCCACAGGCTGCCGCGCAGAGCCAAGGAAGACAACACTGTTTTGTCAGTGAGGAACTGGGCCGGGTGAGGCAGACAGGTCGTCGTACTGTTCGGCAACGCTACCCAGCTCCCACAACGAGAGAATCTTCCAGTGTCTGGCTCCAGCAAATTCAGGCTTTAAAAAATTTGCAGCATAAATTTGTATCCCTTCTTCTAACAGCCATTAGAACCACTTCAGGAGGGGTTTTCCATCACGCTGGGAAATAACAGCAAGAAAAGAAACCAGTTTCCAAACCTGTTCCATTTGCATCACGTGCTGTGCGCAAAGAGTCCCAGCAGTGCTGCAGATGATTTCCTGAAGAAGGCTGGATGTTGATGTGAAGACACTAAACAACATCGGCAGTTCTGGCATATCCATCGTGGTTGCCAAACATGAGATACCGATCACACTGCAGAAGTTTCCTTACCTGCCCAGTCTACCTGGGGGCAGCTGTCTTTCACATAAACCTGATGTCACTGATTGGCACAGGATTTCAAAGCAGCACTCCTTTTAGGAGCGGAGCTCAAAGCTAGGCCCATGGTTTGTGGCAGGAACCTGTTGTACAAGATAGCTGAGCTGAAATATGCTTTTTAATCAATGTTTAATTTCCAACTCTGATGCAAAATGCGGGATTCCTCATTGTGCTGTGGTACCACCAATTCCTGAAGCCCATAGCTGGCTATGGAACCAGACACCAAGAGGTTTAAAATGGGATGGGGATGCAGTCTGTAACTGTTTCAGTGGCCTGTTGGCCATGAATATACAGAATAATGGAAAAGACTTATGCAATCAACAGCCAGAACATTATCACCAGAGCCACAAACAGGAAGAGGCGTGATAGGAACTGCTCATCCACATATTGAGGAGTCCCTGGAACAGCTGGAAAACAGGAAGTAAAAAAAAAAAAAATTCAGTTCCTTCCTCTTCTCAGAATCACGTATATTCTGAACACAGTATATTCATAAATTCAAAGACATGCAATGAATCTACTCAGTCAGAAACTGTTGCTATTTCCTACTCGCAGACTGGCCAGCCATACTGGAAAATCATACGGAAGACAAGCATCAGCTCCATGAAGCAGGACTTGTGGTAAACCTGCTCATGACTAATAGCAGCAGGCAGCTCCAAGTGCTAGAGTAAATGCAGGTCTGCTCGGAGTACTTTCTGGGGACAGTGCTGAGCCAAGCTCACCGCTTAGTTCACTGTCGACTGCTGAGCTAAGTTCACTGTTTCCATCCTAAGGAACTCTGCCACCTGTGCCTGAGTGCTCCCTCCCATCAGGGTGAAACATCTCTGAACAAGGAAATGGTAAAACAGTCAAAGCTGTGTGTGTAGCCTTGACCAAGAGAACTAATGCAAAGCACAGGAGCTCTAAAGCTCAAGCCGTGCCTTTCTCAAACCGCTGTATTGAATCCACAGATGAAAAGCAGATAAAGGAGTTGGTTAAATCATGGCTGTTACGACAGCATGTATTTACATACTCCTTAGCTCAGTCACACCTCCACACAAATCTTCAGTGGACATTGAAGTATAGTTAATAGGCAAGTGAATTTGACCCAAGGACAGTGTAGGTCCTTGGCAACACACGTGTGACATGAAGAATGTGTTTCTGTTTCTCGTGATTCCTATGCTATGTGACATGGTGAAGAAGATTTGCCAAGCACAACCTTTCACAGAGGAAGTCCAGAAAACCCTGGGCAGTAGGTTTTCTTGTTCAAAACAGGCAGACTCAGTTTGCCCACAGTGCAGATGGGGAGGAGGTTTTCTGGGGATTAATTAATTTTTTAGAGAGCAAGGCCACTACCTGGAGTAACCCAACTGTTTTTTCTTAATTAAAAACAGTGAAATCATTTCACCAGAAAGTTACTTCTTGTGGAATACAGATGACTATCTCAGAGATAAATTTCTGAAAAAGGCGCAATCTTTGCTGTCATTATTTTGTGGCACAGAGCACCAGTTTCAATTTTTCCTTCTTGTCTTTCAGGCAGTGGTCCTTTCCTGCTGTTTTCAAAATATGGATCTCCTTCATATACCCCTACTGACTCCTTTTTATTATTATTAGAAACTCTAGTCCAATTTGTCTCATTTTTCAGAGGGAGTCCACTGGAGTACAGAGGAGACATCTGAAAAAGGGGAGAAGTCTCCAGTGCCACTGTCCCTCTCCAGTTCTACTGCCCTCTCAGGAGAGCGTTCAGCAATCATATGGAAGTGACAAACTTGCTTCTTATATGAGCACTTGTAAAAAACGTGTAAGCCATAGACTATGTTCTCTACTGGGTGTTTGCCCTCATTTTGTGTTTCTATTTACAACACTGATTTACTGTTCAGAAAGTTTTGTCATTTAGCAGGCTTTTTGTTTAAAAGCTACAAGGGAGTTTGTAAAACGTCTGTTTGTGACAGGACTCTCGGAGAAGACAGGATGCATGGTACCTGGAGGAGGTCGCCCGTCATTTATGTTGAATGCTGTTGCAAATATACCAAAGGGAAACGCCCCAATTCCGAATGACATTTGGAAGCCACCATCGCCAAACCCAAAGCCCTGGAATCCCTGAAGAGAACAAAGCAACAGATGAGAAAAAAGGTACCAATTGTTTAAAGCCTATTTCAGAATATTTCGCAAAACTGCAGACATTCCCTCTCACTGGCTTTCCTACGGCTGAAGGTGTATCATGCTGTCTGGCAACTTTCAGTCTGCCACACTATTGTTAAATACCTCCTTAGTTCTCCTGGGTTTAAAATGTTTCACACAGTAGCAAACTTGCCAGAGTAACCCAGAAGTTTGAGAAAATTACAACTAGGAACCGCAGTTCTTCCTTGAAGGCCACAAATTAACAAAAGCATTTCTGTAATGTTTCTCAACTTAAAATAGTATACACCTGACAATATATCAACATCACCAATTCTATTTAGAATGTCTTAACAATGTATTAGTAACTGTCTATTAATAGCTATTAGCCATATAAGAAAAGCATTGTAAAAAAAAAAAATCTACATTGATTTTCATGATACATATGCATCATTTACACATTCAGTAAAGTGATAAATTGCCAGTGGGATGCATAGAGCATTACAGAGAAGAACAGTACCAAAAAAACCATAAAAATTACCAGGGGGACTCTAATTAGGGT